AGCCTATCTAACTATTGATCGCCTCATCTGGCACTTATATTGTGTGGTGCCAGCAGCCTATCTAACTATTGATCGCCTCATCTGGCACTTTACTGTGTGTTTTATGTAATACACGTGGAAAGCTCACATTTGCGAATGTGGAAAAGCTCTGTGCCGCCTTAGTCCATCTGGTTTCACGTAATCCTAACGTTATGTAGAAGGCACACGGTTTAGACAAAAATGGATATATGAGACTGTGTGTGTGTGTTTGTGTTTGTGTGTGTGTGTTTTGAAAAGAAATGTGTAGCTAGAGAACAAGATTAAATAAATTATGGGCACTGACACAAAGAAGACATTGGAAAGAAAGGGGCTAGGGTCCTCTGTTTCCTAATAACCTTTCCCTGGGAGAATGGGGTGTCGAGTCCAAACCTTGTTTAAGTGCATAATAATGATTATAATTCTTTAAAAATCATGTACTTAATGACAAATAAATATAACAATATATTTAAAATAATATGATTTTATACAAGAAAACCAAATATTGTGGGTGGAAAGGAGGTGGGTAGAAGGCACCAAACACGCATCGATATTGTAGTCCCACACTATTGTGTTAAATTTATATTTTCTTCTGTTTGGTGGGGTGTGGGATGGGGTAGGGTGACTGAGGTGCCCAAGTCTTCAGGTTCCGTCGCCCCTGAAGGCAAGTAGGATGACATTTCAGGCATGAAACCATCAGAGCACTCACAGACCTGGCACATGGGAGGTAACCTTAGCCGTGCTATCACAGGCAGGCGGCTAGAAGTTGACACGTACACATGGACGGTACCACATAGACAACTCTGTGAACATAGACGGCACTTTGTACAGTCTTCACTGGTAACAACTTGCGTTATGTGTCGAGTTTAGGCAGATTAACTCTTTATGAACCACCCAACTCACTGTACGTTCATTGGTAGGCAAAAGTGAAGAGAAGTTAGCAAGTGAGTTATGTATACGTTACAGAACGTTGCGGAACCAACCCCAGCGTTTGTTTTTAATCTTCTTTTTAACGTTCACCGGCTGTCAACTCCGGCTGTCAACTACGGCTGTCAACTACGGCTGTCAACTCCGGCTGTCAACTCCGGCTGTCAACTCCGGCTGTCAACTCCGGCTGGCGGTTATAGTTAGGGCGCATTTTGACGGCTACACCAGCCAGGGATGATCTGCACTCCTGTGCGGGTATGGACGTGAAAACAAATGCGCTGTTTACAGCATTGCCTGTAGGCCGTCTCTAGATGAAGTTAAAAGCTTTAAGTAGAGAGGATCGACTTCATTGCATAGGGTTCTTTCATCATATAACTCTTTCATTCTCCGCAGAACGACCTACCCTCCTGCTGAAAGCGTCGCACAGAGTACGAGCGCTGCAGTTTCGGCAACGATCCCCAGGGATCTCTGGAAAAAATTGCACTCGTGAACTCAACGGCTTGACCACTTCGCCACGGTCGTCTCGAGAGTTCCGGAGTTCGTGTTTTGAGCGAACACTTCTGCAGAGCCGCTGCTGGTATGAAACAACCCGCTGCTACAAAGCCCGTCCTCTCGACCTTATTGTATATTCCCAACTTGCCCTCACTCTTTTGTACTTTGCTTCACTGACGTCCCCTCTCTATTTGTCTCGAACCATTACACTGACACCTGCACTAGAATAAACAAACACTCAATTACCTGAGGATCCCAAACCTATATAAAGCAACCCTACCCCAGACTGGTCACATTTCTGCTGACGTACCGAGTAAACACTCCTACACTAAAGCCACACGACAGCTTTCTCTGCCGTTTGTCTAAACTGTGCGTGATCATCATTGAGCGTTCAATATTTGCCATTGTCTGACAAGTGAAGGTGAAGATTTGAACCGTGATGATCTAGATCTACGTTTAAGTTCAGAAATCGTTGGTTTCCATACACAGTAAACTCCTTCCTATTAAGTATATTACCGGACCACTTATAGTTTTTTCTTCTTCTTTTTCTTCCCTTTCTACTTCTTCGCTGACCCTTAGAAGGGCTGTAGTGTTTACAACCATCGTGGTGTGCGCCTTGGCCCCAGCATGTCAGATTCTGTAACGGAATCACTACTGCTAATTTCTCGCCTTGTGTAATATGTTCGTTAACAAACAGCTGGTCTATTCTTTTCTCTCAAAGAAATTAGGCACTGGAACCTATGCTGAGAGAACCGCTCAAAAGAAACATTCTGCCAAAGAAGACTGTCGTACCCCAGACTTGCTGTTGAGGAAGGATGGAGTCGGTCTTTGACTAAACCGCCCACCGTAGGAATCAACCCGAGGCAAACGTCTAGGATTGGGAAACTACTGCACTGTTGTCATCTGTATGACATGACAGATGTTGCAAGGGCTCTTTGGGAGCTAGTAAACACACTACCTGATGAGCATGATGCTGCCGGGAGTGACCGGGGGATTTGACTGTCGCTCAACACTTAGGGGAAGGCGAGACGGATATACAATCAGACTATCACAGGTAACATCAAGGTTTGAACTGGCTACTGTAGATCGGGACGGAGAGCTTACGGCTTTATCCCGAGTTCCGTGATGTGGATTCTTGCTGTAACATTTAGCTGTTGCAATAACCTCTAAATCAAACAATATTTCGTTGGTTTTGGCAGTGGTAGCTAGAGTCGATCGTTAAAAGCAATGGCAAACTACTGAAGACAAATTTGCCTAGAAAATCCACAACATACATACAATGCTGGGGTGGTTTCTGCAACGTTCTCGAAAACAAACTTCTAACTAATAAACCTCAAAGGGACGGAGCCACACACCAGTGCAACTGATGAAGACTTAATTACAACCAGACAGTCACATAGTCATTCTAAGTATATTGTTGGAAGTTTTATCTACAAGTACAAAACATGAGGGCCGACTGCCTACAGACTTGGAGAGAAACAGATTTGACTCTCTTGCGTGTCAAGCTGTTCCTAAGCAGATTTCATCGGCAATAGTCGGTAAACCAATCGTTAGACAGATGAATGTCTGTCAGGAATGGCTTGTGGAGGGGTTAATCGAGGATCCCGGTCGGTCAATTGCTTGAAAAGTGTCTGATTGTCTGGCGAATGGGTCCTTAGTGTCCAACACTAAAACCGCGCAGTAATTGTGACAACAATTCTCTGTTCACGGAGACACCGTTTTACACAGAGACTACGTACTGTACACGACTGCCTCACGTCGACAAATATAACACAGACGTACTGTACACGACTGCCTCACGTCGACAAATATAACACAGACGTACTGTACACGACTGCCTCACGTCGACAAATATAACACAGACGTACTGTACACGACTGCCTCACGTCGACAAATATAACACAGACGTATTGTACACGACTGCCTCACGTCGACAAATATAACACAGACGTACTGTACACGACTGCCTCACGTCGACAAATATAACACAGACATACTATACACGACTGCCCCACGTCGAAAAAATATAACACAGACGTATTGTACACGACTGCCTCACGTCGACAAATATAACACAGACGTACTGTACACGACTGTCTCACGTCGACAAATATAACACAGACGTACTGTACACGACTGCCTCACATCGACAAATATAACACAGACGTACTGTACACGACTGCCTCACGTCGACAAATATAACACAGACGTACTGTACACGACAGCTACATATTGACACATATAACGCAGCCGAAGTCCTCGGCACAAACAAACAACATCAGACAATATAACACTGACGTCGCCGGCACCATTACAGCACATCGACAAATACAACAAAGACGATGTACTCGACACAACTACAGCACATCGACAAACAAAACAAAGACAATGTACTCGGCACGACTACAGCACATCGACAAACATAACAAAGACGATGTACTCGGCACAACTACAGCACATCGACAAACATAACAAAGACGATGTACTCGGCACGACTACAGCACATCGACAAACATAACAAAGACGATGTGCTCGGCACAACTACAGCACATCGACAAACATAACAAAGACGATGTACTCGGCACGACTACAGCACATCGACAAATATAACAAAGACGATGTACTCGGCACGACTACAGCACATCGACAACCATAACAAAGACGATGTACTCGGCACAACTACAGCACATCGACAAATAATACAAAGACGATGTACTCGGCACAACTACAGCACATCGACAAATAATACAAAGACGATGTACTGGGCACAACTACAGCACTTCGACAAATATAACAAAGACGATGTACTCGGCACAACTACAGCACATCGACAAATAATACAAAGACGATGTACTCGGCACGACTACAGCACATCGACAAATATAACAAAGACGATGAACAGGGCACGAATTCAGGGAATGTATAGTTATATAAGTTATTATTTTAGATAAAGTGGGCGCAAATCCAGGTACGCCGCCGCTGCTCCATATAGGGTTATTGATCTGACATTAGAATGTATATTGTAAGTGCACTAATGAATCTTCCCTCAATTTAGGCGGGGGGGGGGGGGGAGAGTGGGGTGGGGTATAAACCAGCCGCCCCCTTCCCCCCCCACCCCCCTGTACCGAAAATAGGACCCACAATAGCAATAGCATTACCTCCACAGATAGTGATTACAAAAATAGGAACGGCAATATTTTCAACAACAAAACAAATATAGTCAGTAAAAAAATGCACCATGTATTTTTAACTTGAAAAGAATTACATTCTTTTCCTTATTGTTAATGAAATTGTTTACACATTACTTAAATTTCCCCAGCGTGTCTTCGAAAATCGTTCCACCAACCACATTTAGTATGCGTGCCGTGGTTTGCAAATAGCTGTCACAAAAAATGCTGATTTAGAATTGCTACAACAATAGTGTTGTGATATCACTATCTACTCAACAAATGTAACCGGCTGTTTTTTAATTTTCCAATTGTTTTCATCCATTGGCAGGATAAGGTAATATTACCACTGACCCAGCGACACAGTGAGATGAGGCGCCGATTGAAAACGGTGGTGTCATGGCGAGCTATTTAAGATGTCTGCGAGCATGTGTTGCGCCATTTTTTGTTGTGTACACAATACTCGTGACGTACTTCCTGGCCCAGAGCGCCTGGGATGACGTCAGCAGCAGACTACGACGGCGCAGCGATGCCAGATTTTTAGACGTGTTAGTTCAAGAGGAACGGCGTCATTTGCGCAGTTTTCAAGACGTTGTGAAAAATTACAGGTTTGTGGCATGCTTGGTTCTTTTTTGGCTGTCAAATTTATTAATAATGCAGGATACGCATGTGTGGTTAAACATTCCAGACTCTAAAACAGAAATCATACTAAGGTTAGAAAACAGGATATTGGTCATGAACTCCAGCAGAAAACAAAATGGTGTGAGCCATCCTTTGAGAATAAAAAGAAAAACGTTACCAAACCATGCGGCACGTTCAAGAAGGGTTGCTGAGATCGGGCACCCAAGAGGCAGATAGATTGTTGATATTGAAGCTGTTGCATGACGGTTTGACACCCATACAACCAGACGAAACGTATGAGGCTTGTCAATCCAACACGACAAACACAGACACCTTCGCCAGCCAGAAAGTATCACTACGCAATGGCTGTACTATTGAAGTTGAAGCCGAAAGGACCGACTTCATTGCCCTAGGTTTTATCCCATATGATTCGGTCTTCCTCATCGGAACCGCTAACCACCTGCCGAAAGCATCATACAAAGTACGAACTCACGACCTTTAGAGCGCGAGGCAAACGGTTTGATGGACTAATTAGGGTTACTTCCTTGGGGGTCAGAGTGCATCTGCCTGCGAAACGAGGAACCATCTTGATTTTTTTTTTTTAAATGTCCACTCAAGAACTGCTGTCTGTATGAATACCATCTCTAGGTCAAGAATCCAACGAAATCATATTCCAAAGACCGCGTTCAACCGTATAAACTAGTACATTGTGGCACTCAACGGTGACCAAGTCACCTGTAGACCAATTTGTGTGGGTCGCAGGGCCAGATTTAAACTTGATAACGCCATCAGCTGTTAAACTTATGGATAATGGAATTATAATCTAGTTAATATTTTAGTATAAAAATAATACAGAAAACGTTTGCTAAATCACTGAAATTATATTGTATAATTCTCTAAACGGTTCTAGTGAAAGAAAATTGCAATTTAAGTATTTTTTTTTTTTTTTTAATGTATTTTGAAAATATAAAGTAGGAATTTGTGGAGGTTGCTGTAGACTGTGGGACCCTTTTTAGGCTTTTTTGCCTATGTCCTAATCCAGCACTAGTGGGTCGTTACTCTCGTCTTATTCCCCCTGTATATGACCAAGTCCCACCACACATATACATTATTGTCCCTGTCTATGACCTAGCCCCACCACACATATACATTATTGTCCCTGTCTATGACCTAGTCCCACCACACATATACATTATTGTCCCTGTCTACGACCAAGTTCCACCACACATACACATTATTTTCCCTGTCTACGACCGAGTCCCACCACACATAGACATTATTGTCCCTGTATATGACTAAGTCCCACCACACATAGACATTATTGTACCTGTCTACGACCGAGTCCCACCACACATAGACATTATTGTCCCTGTATATGACCTAGTCCCACCACACATATACATTATTGTCCCTGTCTACGACCAAGTCCCACCACACATAGACATTATTGTCCCTGTCTACGACTGAGTCCCACCACACATAGACATTATTGTCCCTGTATATGACCAAGTCCCACCACACATAGACATTATTGTCCCTGTCTACGACCGAGTCCCACCACATATAGACATTATTGTCCCTGTATATGACCAAGTCCCACCACACATAGACATTATTGTCCCTGTCTACGACCTAGTCCAAGGAAACATAGACATTATTGTCCCTGTCTACGACCGAGTCCCACCACACATAGACATGATTGTCCCTGTATATGACCTAGTCCCACCACACATATACCTTATTGTCCCTGTCTACGACCAAGTCCCACCACACATAGACATTATTGTCCCTGTCTACGACCAAGTCCCACCACACATAGACATTATTGTCCCTGTATATGACCAAGTCCCACCACACATAGACATTATTGTCCCTGTCTACGACCGAGTCCCACCACACATAGACATTATTGTCCCTGTATATGACCAAGTCCCACCACACATAGACATTATTGTCCCTGTCTACGACCTAGTCCAAGGAAACATAGACATTATTGTCCCTGTCTACGACTGAGTCCCACCACACATAGACATGATTGTCCCTGTCTACGACCAAGTCCCACCACACATAGACATTATTGTCCCTGTCTACGACCAAGTCCCACCACACATAGACAGTATTGTCCCTGTCTACGACCAAGTCCCACCACACATAGACATTATTGTCCCTGTATATGACCTAGTCCAAGGAAACATAGACATTATTGTCCCTGTCTACGACCGATTCCAAGGAAACATAGACATTATTGTCCCTGTCTACGACCGAGTGCCACGACACATAGACATTATTGTCCCTGTATATGACCAAGTCTCACGACCCACAGACATTATTGTCCCTGTATATGACCAAGTCTCACGACCCACAGACATTATTGTCCCTGTATATGACCCTCCCGCTACCCACAGAGATTATTGTCCCTGTATATGACCAAGTCTCACGACACACAGACATTATTGTCCCTGTATATGACCAAGTCTCACGACCCACAGACATTATTGTCCCTGTATATGACCAAGTCTCACGACCCACAGACATTATTGTCCCTGTATATGACCAAGTCTCACGACCCACAGACATTACTGTCCCTGTATATGACCATCCAACGACACATAGACATTATTGTCCCTCTCTATGACCAAGTCGCACGACACACAGACATTATTGTATCTGTATATGACCGAGTCCCACGACACATAGACATTACTGTCCCTGTGTATGACCATCCAACCACACATAGACATTATTGTCCCTCTCTATGACCAAGTCGCACGACACACAGACATTATTGTATCTGTATATGACCGAGTCCCACGACACATAGACATTATTGTACCTGTATATGACCATCCAACGACACATAGACATTATTGTCCCTCTCTATGACCAAGTCGCACGACACACAGACATTATTGTCCCTGTGTATGACCATCTAACGACACATAGACATTATTGTCCCTGTCTATGACCATCTAACGACACATAGACATTATTGTCCCTCTCTATGACCAAGTCGCACGACACACAGACATTATTGTATCTGTATATGACCGAGTCCCACGACACATAGACATTATTGTCCCTGTATATGACCATCCAACGACACATAGACATTATTGTCCCTCTCTATGACCAAGTCGCACGACACACAGACATTATTGTCCCTGCATATGACCGTCCCACGACCCACAGACATTACTGTCCCTGTATATGACCATCCAACGACACATAGACATTATTGTCCCTCTCTATGACCAAGTCGCACGACACATAGATATTACTTTTCCTGTCTATGACCAAGTTCCAGGTCACATACACATTATGGTTTCAAACAGACACACCGTTCTGTCCATACACCATTGCCTGATCCTGTCTTGATTGTTCAGCTAGCATTAGTTCCCCTGTGTAAAAAGCCGTTTTCATCCCTTAAGAGCATTGGGCATTTAGTGCCTGGACAATATTTTGTAGATAAATCTCCCTCTATGGGCGTTTGATCGTCACACGGGCCGCCTTGACTTCCCCGGACATAACTTAGTTCCTATTTTAGGCTGGGTCGACTTAGAAGCTAAGGTCAAATGTAACGAGACAAATCCACCTGGATATGGGTTCGAACCCGAATTCTAAGGGCCGACAAGCGAGCGTCTAACCACCAGGCTATCGCAGCTGCTGACATTTTTACGTAAAAGATTTATAAATCCGTCTCCAGTGGTAAAACAATGCAAATGACTGTTGTTCTACATTTTTGTTTTTCAGAGGGGACATGCGGAGACAGGTCGGTGGCAACGGGATTAATGGCAACGAAAGGCAGCGGAGGATGCATTACACGCAATCAAATACAAGTTCTGCTCCTTCTTTGGCTCTCACCGAGGCACACCCAATGAACGTTCATGGAAGAGACGAATACACTGACGATAACGATGATGACGATAGATCTTACAACGAAAGTTACCTTCCAAAAGATTTAAAATCAGAAAAAGCAAGGGAAAACAAATTCCCGAAGCCGGTTTTCCAAGTTGAAGTAGAGGAATGGCAAGAGCCAGCAGAGCAGCCTGGAGTTTTCACAAAAACACTGAACAATTCTGAAGCCACTTCAACCCATGCCCGCTTTGTATACAGCAACGTGAAGGGCATCAACCATAATTTGCCAATCTACAAGCACATTCCAGCAAATGATATTGCCAGAACTGAGCAACAAGCGCAGCCACAGAAAACGGGCAGCTCGCATCAAAATGGAGGATACACTACTGAATTTTGTGATAATGTATTTGATGTATTCGGACAGAAGTCGGCAATATGCAAACGGGAACTAGCTGAACTTAACACTGTCTTTCATGTAAACATCAGCACATATTTTTTACCATTCAGAGAAGTTGGCGATATTTTTATCTTTTCTGCATTCCTAGATACTAGAGGGGCAACCTCTTTGATTCGTCTGATGACGCTTGGTGGTAAAGATCGTAACAATCGTAAATCTGCTTATTGGTGTGTGTTCTATACCCGATCTCGGACACCTGGCTCTAACAAGGGTACCACATCTGACCTGAATAATGCGGTAATAGATTCGAACAATTTTAGCAGGCTTGGCACCCAACTGACATACTACTCTGCCAGTGATGGCCACAATAGAAGTAATCAATTTTATATTATGTCATGTCCAGTTCCCGATGGAGCTAAGAGCTCTCTGTTGCCACCTTACCGGGGTCTGTTTCAAGTCATTGTTGGAGACACTCAGCGTCCATTTCTGGGGACAAGCCAGGAGAGTATCACTTTGAGAATTATCAGGAACAACGCCGAAAGCGCTAGATCGCACCGAAAAAGTGCGCTACATAAAAGTACCTCTTCCCACTCGCGTAAAGACGTATTGACGTTTGGTGAATCAGATAGTATAGACAGTTTTAATAAAACTACAAAAATTACAGACAATATTAGTATACTAGGTGATACAGTATCATATACTAGAAGTACATCAGAAGTGCCGAGAACTATCATGATAAACAGTACAGATGATAAGATAGTATCATGTGTCCCACCGCTGCAAGGATCAATCGGGGTTGTTCAGCTTGTGGAATTCATTGAATTGACCCTACTTCTGGGAAGTCAGCATATAGTTTTCTATACATTCCAGATCTCTGATGAGATCAAGAAGATTCTCTTCATGTACGAAAGACGTGGGCTGGTCACAATGCTTCCATGGGCTCTACCAGATCCGGACTCAGTTTGGGCAAAGGGAAGAGACATGGCTCTGAACGACTGCTTGTATAGAACTATGCACATCTATGATTATGCTCTATTCCTAGACTTGGATGAGTTTTTAGTACCTCGAGTCACTTCAGATATCCCATCATTTCTCAAATACCTTAAGTCCGTCCACAGGTTCAACTCCACAAGATTTTCAGACTTGGTTTTCAGCTCTACATACTTCCCTCCTCCAACGAAAGTCCAGTATAAAAACCTCACAAATGCAGTCGATTTCACCAGAGACGTCAATAAATTCATCAGCTTAAAAAGCGTACATAGAACTTACTTCAACCCCAAACACACACTCCGGTTAATCAAACTGTCAAAAGCTCTTCGAGTTGGAGCAGGAGAAAGGAAACGAACTTCCTTCACAATCAGCTCTCGCTTTGCTGTGGTCCACCACTACAGCTACTGCCCGCAAGATGCCAGTGCTGGAAGTAAAGGTGGTGCTGCTGTGAGGTCAGTAGCTCGGGACTCAAGCGCCACTGATCTCTGCGGCCACACCAAGACAGACTTCATCATGTGGCGCTACAGACATGTACTTATACCCAGGGTCAAGGACAGTGTCATCAGGCTAAACCGAGGTTAGGGGTCATTAGACAAATTCAAGGTTAGAGACCATCAAACAAAGCCGAAGCTCGGGATAACCCAAATAAAATCATGTTAACATTATACATTCTCTATCACGAAATATTATAATTCAAACACTTACTTATTAGCCTGGGAGGAGAAACCTCACTTCTTAGCCTGGGCGGAGAAACCTCACTTCTTAGCCTTGGCGGAGAAACCTCACTTCTTAACCTGGGCAGAGAAACCTGAGCGCCACCCTCCCCCCTTTCTCAACCAACGACCGGCTCAAAACAACTGTCTGGGGATCGAGTCCCCTTCCGGCGCCGAGCAAGAAGTCGTCCCCTCTACCTCCCTAAACCATCTGCCGGGGAATCAAGCGGTTTATCTAAATGTTATGTTTTTGAATATGTGTTTTTGTTTCATATACATTTCGTTGGTCATTCAGCACATAATAATAATAATACAAATTATTAGTATTACTCACTTAAACAATATTTAAGCGCACCGAGCCCCACCCCTCATCACTTATGAAGGTGTTGATCCCCACCCGCCCTAATGTTTTCTTTCTGTGCGGCGCCCCCTGCTAACGAAACTGGCAGCAATCTTAATAGCAGAACTATCTATTTCATGTTTATAATGTACCACAGGCGGCCTCAGGTGGCTTGGATAATGTTTGCATGTCTGTGTGTGTGCTAGGCGAGAGAGTTTATGTGTGTGGGAGAGAGCGTATGTATGCGTTAGAGCTAGAGAGTGTGAGTGTGTGTGAGGCAAATAATATGTGTATGTGTGTGTGAAAAGGATAGTATGTGTATGTGATAGAGAACAGGTGTGTGAAAGAGAGTATGTGAGAGAGAATGTGTGTATATGAGACAGGGTGTGTATGCGAGAGAGAGAGGCAGAGATATGTGAGGGATGTAATTCTTTATAATTTATCTTGTCAAATTTCAACGATGACGTGAAGTTATATTAACATGTGTATTCCTATATGCCTGCTCACCCACAGTACAGATCATTTTGATAAAATACCGACTGGCTTCAGCGATCACGCTTCTGCACATCTCCCAGTCTTTATGTGTCATCGCCTCTCTCAATCTATTCAAGTTAAGTCTTGGGTGACTAGTCATTTAGCTTCAACAGGTTCTATGCAGTTTTTTTTTTTTTTTTTTTTTTTTCAAAATTTGTAAATAATTCAGGATTTGCTCTTGAATATTAAAACTGATTTCATTGAGGGTTGGTGGGGGGGGGGGGCGGCGGAGGGAGAGGGGGGGGGGTGGTGTTTTAAAAAACGTTGCAGGCTAGTTGTTTCATACCTGCCTGGCTATTTATTAGTCACCGGTTCGAACCTCTATGGAGGCAAATTTCTTGTTTAGCGGTATAGGTTATCCTGTCGGCCTAAACTGAGTGCTAGGAACTGCTCTGGGAAGTAAAAGACATAGTTAGACATTCTCTACATCATCTGCCGTGTGCCCATATGTCTATGCAAACGTGTGTTTCGCACTATATGCACAAGACGCCTTAAGGAAGAAATCTAGGAACTCAAGTCATTTTACCAAGGATCGGCTAACCCAACCTTTAGAACGCTGGGCTCTTATATGGGATACCCGGGTTTGAATCCTCGGCATGTCATAGACTTTTCTTTCCTCTGTCGGGGCACACACAAAACATCCTATTCTGGAGAGTTTGTGGTGACTGTACCAGCCAAACGGCCCTAAATCTTCACGCGTAAGTTCACTTGACCTACACCCTCTCCCCTTTTCCCCATTTGCCTTCCCTCAAAGTGCAGTAAGGACAGTTTACTTGTTCATAGCCTTCAACATTCTGATGGAAATCGCCTTGGACTTATATGAAGCTTTGGGGGGCTGCGTGGTCTCGAGGCATGGTGTCCCCCTCCAGTGCTAGAGGTTCCGGTTCAATCCCCGGTAGAGGCTGGAATTTTTTCACGTGGACTTGGACTTCTAGTTTTTCCCCTGAGATTTTTATAGTGAGATCGGACGCCCGTGTGTATTGTTGCGCACGTAAAAATATTCCTTGGCAGTTGGAAATAGAAAAGAGTAGCCTAACGTCGCTGCCCTGGCAAAATATTCAGTTGAAAATCTACCCAAAGTATTTCAGGATCCTCGCCGGTGCTACAGAATCTGTGCACTGTTCTGAGTTTCTTCGGACTCAGACTTGAGTTAGAAAAAAGAACGGAGTTCTTATGGGTTAATACGCGTGTGTCATGATGTTGATCTGTTGTTTAAACTGCAAACCTCAAAAAGTGTTTAAACTTGTCTAAAGCTTGCACAAGCAACTCGTGTTTCAAGTTTAAATGTATGAGGCAGCTGGATACTTGCCTGCTGAGCTAAATGTGTTGCGTTTCAACCTACAGAGGTCGACCTTTTATAAATAGCCATGGACATCTGGTATATTTGCTGGTAAATATGTTCAGGAAACCTGCTGTTGGCCGCATTAGCCATCAGGTGCTGGTTGGTCGTCTTCTTCTTCGTGTTCACCGGTGGTAAACCTCGGTGGACATTTCTGGTTGCTCATCCAACTTTGGACTTCAGTTCCAGAACCTATTACATATATGAATTGTGTGTATGCAGATTGTTGGTTCCTTGCCTCAAAGGTTGATAGCTCAGACTTGGAAGAAACCCCCCGATTAGTCCACTTTTAGGACATGCTTGTTGGGGAGGCAGTGGTTCTATTCTTGTTTTCCCGACAGAGGGGTCCCGGAACCGACACAGGGATGAGTTGATTGAGCTATGAGTCCAGCAAGGTAAGCCCGATGCGCCACTCTCGTGAGAGGGTACTCTACGGCAGGTCTACTTAATACCCTTGCCTTATGATACTATTACAGTGATACTTTGGCTAACGAAGATAATGGATACAGTATAATGAAGATGCATTGGCACTAAAAGCACATGGGGCTGGAGAGCTGGCTAGGGAAAGGGATCCTTTCAGCGAGGAGAGCGACGTGCTGTAAAGGACCTGGTGATTGAATATGATGGATAAAACCAGTGTGTTGAGGTCCCTACGACAACCTCTCACAGCAACGATATTTTTATTTACTGCAGTCACCTGACATACAAGATTATCACGTGACCTCTATGTTCGTGAGGCCCGGACAAGTGCGTTAATAAAGACTTGCTCTTCCTGGGATAAGCTGAGAATCTTCCAGACATCACAGGCTGAATATTTCAATGTTGTGCCGTCTCCGCTATGGAGGCTAGCAGCAGTGCATCTACTGACAATATTTCTCTGTGATTCGCATTTCTCTACCAGAAGACTTGTTAATCAATATAGAACTGGTACTATTAGCCATCGGACGTTGGGGCTTATACTGAGGGGAGGATCTGAGTACCTATGGCCATATCCGGAGTGCAATGATAATAACCCAACTCACTAACAAACTAACTAGCTCATTTCTCTTCCATTCTCCTATTTCCGCATCACTTTCTGAAAGTCCCAAGAACGGCGCTGGCATACTGTTGTCGCGTCTCAGTTCTCGCCATCGTTCCTAATAGAGCCCAATTAATCAAGTAACAGAAAGTGTATTGATTGGCACTCATAGAAAGAAGTAGATAGATAGAAGAACACACTGTTTATTTACTAATAGAGCCCAGGACACTGACCTGGGGGAATCTTTGGTTGTCTTTGGGATAACCCCAGGACTGTACTGGCTGGGATAACTTGGATTTCTCCACGACATTTCTATACCCAGCACGTCTTCTAGCGAAATATTCTGAGCTGTCAGATAAGAAAATACAATAACTGGACAGAACAATAGTCTTGCCTAGAATCCTTGTTTTGTTCATTGCAAAAATGCAAGGTAATTGACAACAGTGGCACTGAGGTAACATTTTCAAGGAGAACAAGAAAGAGAGAATGCACATAAACCATCGGCTTTTATAAAATAATGTATTAGACACACACTAACTGCATGTCTGCATATGATTAGAAAGCTTGTTGTACATGTGTTGTATACGTAAACAAATGTATCATTATTCCAGAAATGTTAGGATCTCATCACAGAATTCACGAAATAACTACCAAAGAGCTCATTAAATGTTAATTCATTCATAATGTGTAAATTATTATTAATCATTGATAACTGATTCCAGAGAAAACGTGAGAACAGTATAGCTAGAATGTCTTTGCAACGGAACCCCCAGAAGCTTAAAAAATATTCACAGATTTAAAAGAAAACACAAACAGAGAAAGCAGATGGAGAGTGAAGTTAAAAGATAGGGAAAACATCATGCGAGCTGCATGCAACAGGCAAGGATAGAACGACTTAGCGTGAGTGGGTTGAAGGTTTATGCTCCACTGGGAGGGCGGAGGGGATAAAAGGTAAATTGCGTATCCTTTACAGGACGTTGCAGAACCAACCCCAGCAGCCATTGGCTGTTGTGTGGTTTCTCTAGGCAATTTACGTCCAGTAGTTGGCCATTGCCGCTGGACGGTCGGCCCCCTGATAACACCGTCGAAACCAACGCAAGGCGCATGGCCCGCAGCTGGGATCGAACCCGGCACCCCGGCATTACGAAGCGTTCGCATCGACGTAGCCACAGAGCTGACTGGGGATAACAGGCAGGGATACAAATATAAAATGACGTATTCCTGCCTGGAGAAATATGTATGATCTGTGAATTAGAGAGCGTGTGTGCACGCAGGCGTGCCGCAACATTGGAGCTTGGGCACCATCAACTTCTCCCCCTCTGCCCTCCCCAACGGCGAAGTTGTCCCACCTTTACCATGTTTAGAAGAAAACATTTTAGGTTTTCGTCTGTATATTGAGGGTTATTTTACATACATTATTATACTTATTTGCTTACATTATTTTTATGAAGTACTTAGGCAAGGTTTATGCCTCTTTAGCCTCCGAGCCCGTTAGATAATATGTATAGAGGCTGAGGAGGCCCCAGTATTTTTGTGTTGACGCCCCCGTGTACGAGTGGAGTTGTCTGTTGAAATGTAATAAGTAATGGAATGTGAAACATGTACATAATACAAATGTAGTAATTGATCGCTGGGTCA